AGATGGTAGAAGTTCCTCCCAAGCATTGCTCTTTGAAACGCTGAGTGGCCTTGCTGGACGTAAATGCCCTGGGGAGGGCGAGGCTCTAGGTCCAGGCGGTGCTGATTTATGCTGATGGAAACAGGAGGGGCAGCTGCACAGCCCCTGGCATTTCTGCTCCAACGTCCTGTGACTTTGTCAGAGGAACTGAGTGTGGTGTTCAGAGTCAGACCTCAGTGTTGGGCGACGCCCTTCCTCATCACTGGAAAAGCAGAACTGGGGGTCACATCCGCAGACGGTGTGTGCAAAAGGCCTGGGCCCTCCACAGTGCCCCTTGCTAGCTTTTTGTGTGCCCCTATTGAGCATTGGTGAGCCCTCTGCCCCCTGCCTTGGCTGATGTCATTTCATTATGACCCATAAGCCCCTGTGGAAAGGTGCACCCGGGAAAGCATTTCCTTCTTAAGTAACACGTTTCCCTAGCAAACTGGAGAGTTGATAAAACCTAAGACCCAGCATCCCACAGATTGCTGCCCTGTCTGCTGGGGATCGGATCCCGTGACAGCGTGGCTCAGGAAGGCACCGGGCTCTCCTGGGTTTGGCATCCTAGGGAGGGGGTTCTCATACTGAATGACGGAAGGGATTTGGAAACTTGGAATAATGGGTTGAATCAAGCAAGATAATATATTGAAAGGATAAGTAATACTTTCAGGTTTAATAACCAAGTAACTACCCAAGTACACAATAGGGGGGAGACATGGCCATAAAGTCTGACAGGTAAAGACAGTTTGGGGTTTGATTTGCAGGCCGCTATTGAATGAGTGTCCATTGCAATGAGGCCAAAGTAAAAGTAAATGTGGTTTAAAAGAGCGAATGTGATGTTTGGCTCTATCATTAGAGATGCCACGTGGTCCTTCTCTGTCCCTCTCTGCGCCCTCTGCCCTGCTCTCTCCTTGGGGCGGGTACTGCAGGGGACTTGTTAGTACATAAAACGATTCTCTACCTGAAGTGTAACTGATTTGGAGAGTGCATGTGTCCCCTCGGGGGAGCTGGCCTGTGGAATTGTTTGTGAATCACCATCTGAAGCTGCCTCTTACTTGCCTGATATTTAGAACAGATGCACTCTCTTCCATATGTGTCATGGACCCTTTTTTTTAAAGGTGAAATTTGTTTGTTAATATCGATGCTTTGGGAAGTTGTTTCCTGCCTGTCTTAAGGCTTTGAACCCCCGCTGTGTATGTCCCAGGGTGGTGGTGGCGTGTGATGGGGTGTGTGATGGGGTGTGTGTGTGTGTGTGTGCACGCGTGTACATATCCTGCTGTGAGAAGCAGGGCCATAGGTGATGCCAAGGGGTTGAGAGCCATGGTTTATGGAGGATGATGACATAAGGATCTAGGAATATTTGGCCAGGGGAAGTAAGAGCTGGGCTGAGAGTAAGCAAAGGATTGTAGAAGAGACACAGAATTTAATCTGATTCACAGAGGTCAGGGTGGGACCAATAGATGGAGGACAAGCTGATTCTGAATTTCATGTTAAAAAACAACAACAACAAAAACAGTGACTAGGGCCGCGGCAAGTGGAAAGATACTGACTTCCCAAGTCCCTGCGATTGGAGAGAGTCACACAGAGCCGGATTGTTGGAGGCTCCCGGGGGGAGATCCAGGCCAGTATCACCTAAGGTTGGAAGCGTTCTTGGATCCACCCTGGAAGCTACACCGGGACCTTCTGGCTGCTGACTTCGGGGAGGGGCAGGGATGGTCCCGAGTTGTCTCGGATGGTTGCGAGACCCGCGGTTGGGCCTGGGCCCTGTGTCTCATGCTTGCTTGTGCAAAAAACACTTTGAGACTGTGGATGAAGGGCGCTTTGTCAGTGTGAATGTTATCAAGCGCACTGCCTCCCTTTCCTCCGCAGCCAAGGAAAGGCCCGCGATAAAGACGTTTCCCCAGCATAACCTTTCCATGCCGCTTTCCACACCTCTTTCCTCTGGGAATCCAGTGTGTTGAATTTCACTTTCTTGGCACAGAATCCAAGTTGTAATATTTGGACTTAACGATTTGGTTTAACCTTAGTTAAAAACATATATGAGTCTGTATGCATTATGTGTCCATTGAAGTGACATTTTAAAATTATCCTCCAAGTATCTGTGTAAAAAAATTGGAAAGAGTATTCTGGAGAGAGACACTATTAGCAAACCGTCTGGTTACCTACGTACATTCAATGTATAGGTGTGCTGAGGGCGCAAATGTTTTTTAGGGCTTGCAGGGTGTAGTAAATTTTTAACGAGGATAATTCTGCTTTCCCTCTGTCTTTTCCAATGTGTTGGTTTTCATGTGCTCCACGGGGGCCTTCCTGGGCAGAACAGGTGGCAAGGTCACTGAAGATACCCTCTGAATGCACAACAGCTGACTAGTGTCAGCAGAGGGGTTCGTAAAGGAATTTTAGGGTGCTGGTGGGCCTGTCTCTTGATAGATCTAGAAAAGGGAATCGAGGGATGAGTGTGGTTGAGAGGATGTTGACAGAAGGTGGGTTTGGAGAGCTGAGACTAACTGCGCTCCTTCTACTAACAGTACATCTTCCGTTCTTGCACATCCACTCCCGGTCCATCTGTTCTCTCTGTGCTGCTGTGACTGGAGCTTCCACTGTCCACTCTCTCGGTCACCACCAGCTCCTGGTGGGCACTGGGTGGGGGGGCTGACGGGCACCACCCTGGGGGTGCCGGGAACTTCCCTGACTGCTGCAGCCCCTTTCCATCAGCCTCGGGAGGCACCCAGTTTAGGGACCCAGATTAGGTTACACTCAACGTAATAGATTTACGACTGATTTCCTGTCCTTTAAATTCGAGAGCAACGACACTCCGTGTATTGTTTTACCTCCCGGCCTGGCTCTGAGACCAAACGTCCTGTTTTGGTTTCATGCTGCCACAGGAGAGCTGCATTCTGTTGGCCACGGGGTGTGAGGTTTGGCACCGCGTTGGCATCTGCCCAAGGCTGTGTTCATTTCCTCTGGATATACTGATTCAGTCCACAGTGCGAGGGAAACGGGGAAGTAAACGGCAACCCGTTGGAAAGACTTTGGACTTGGGGACAACTGGTGCTGCGGCCGCCTTTGCCCTGGTTCCTGGCTCCCAAGGTCACGGCATGTCGGTCCCCGTGGCGGTGCCAGACGCGGATGGAAAGACTACGGGTATTGTTTCTAGTGGTTCAGTGGCTGGAGGAAGAGACCGGCTCAGTCCTGCAGAAGCAGCTCTGGCGGTAAACCTTTGCTGCTTTCCCTTGGTCTAAGAGCCTCTGTCAGCTTGAGTTTGGACAAGTTTTGTTTGTGAGAAGAGAGTCCGCTCCATGCTTCTAGAAACCATAAAGCCCTGCGGAGGGAGACAGTGATGCTGTTTGTAGGGGCAGAGCGAGGGCCGGGCCTCTTTGTTTCCTGCCTCTGCTCTGCGTTATATAAGCATGTAAACACTTGTTTTCAAAGGAAGAGATGAAACTGGCAAGAGTGAAATTGTTTTTATATTATAATTATAAGAATTATAGGACATTTCTACCTAATTATCAAAGCAGACCCTTAGTAACTTCCACCTCCTATACTTTATTAGGTTATTAGGGGAAAGCTATGTACTTGCAAGTATGTGCAGCAGCATTTGGGGGGTAATATTCTGAAATTCAGGGATATTTAGCCCGGCCGGGCGTGGCTCAGCGGTTGAGCGTCGACCTAGGTAGGATCCAGGCAATCAGGGTTCAATTCCCGGTCAGGGCACGTGCCCGGTTGCGGGCTCGATCAGTGACTCTCATCATTGATGTTTCTGTCTCTCTCTCTCCCCCACTCCTTTCCTCTCTCTGTAATCAATAAAGATATATTTTTAAAAAATTTTTTTTAATTCAGGGATAGTTTCATTTTCCTCTCTATCTAAATCGGTTAGATGACAGTAACATTTCCTATCACTGTGCGATAAAAGAATATACTGAAATGAAGCTATTGTACGTGGCTTCTGGAGAATGAGCTGGATGTGTTCTCATACGTGGCCGAGTTCTCAGGTCTGTTCGGGTTCACGTGACCTCATAGTGTAAGTGTGGAAGCTCTGTAGTTAAGGAACATGGGATTTGCTTCTGCCTCCTGCACTGAGCTCTCTCCAATGCACTGTTGTGGGTAAGGAACAGGCCTCTGGGGCCAGAGGGTCTGGCTACAGCCGTGGAACATGCAGAAGTGGTGTAGTCTCAGGTTTCCCATCTGCGAAATGGGCTAATGAGCACACCTGCCTTCCGGGGCTGCTGTGGGGACCCGGTAAGCCAGTGTGTGTGGAGTTCTGAGAGGCGTTCCTGGCAGGGAGCAAGCAGCAGTAAACAACGATAAATGCGTGGTATTGCTCTTACCAATACCAATTTAAAAAACCTTTCATTTTCACCCAAGTGAATGCTAATACAATGAGGCACACTTTGGAGACCGGAAGTTTCTTTTGTATGACCCAGTTGTTGCATTCAATTTTTTTCCAATTTTTTAGAAATATGTTTTTATTAGTTTTAGAGAGAAAGGAAGGAGGAGGGAGAGATAGAAACATCAGTGGTGAGTCACTGACCGGCTGCCTCCTGCACACCCCCTACTGGGGGTTGAGTCTGCAACCAGGGCATGTGCCCTGACCGGGAATAGATCCCGTGACATCTTGGTTCATGGGCTCAGCCACTGAGCCACGCTGGCCGGGCAAATTTTTTTTTTAGAAGCATGCCTTCGCTTCTCATTCCTTTCCTAGATCCTCGGGACATGTGACAGGCCCATGGTTTGCTTCTCTGCCCACAGGGTGCACGCTGCTGTTCTATGAGACCTACGGGAAGAACTCGCTGGACCAGAGCAGCGCGCCCCGCTGCGCCCTGTTCGCGGAGGACAGCATCGTGCAGTCCGTCCCAGAGCACCCCAAGAAGGAAAACGTGTTCTGCCTCAGCAACTCCTTTGGAGATGTCTACCTTTTCCAGGTACCCTGTGCTTGCTACACGTGGGCTTGAGGCGCCGCTCGTGTGCCGCGAGAATGAGGCACAGAACTGAAGGCACTGCTTAGTAATGAAGCGGAGGGGACGCTCAGCGAGGCTTTGGACTGGGGCTCAGCCGCGAGCCCTGGCCTCAGTGCAGGTCGGTCATCCACACAGCAGGCATTGCTCGGGCCCGTGCGGTGCCTGGCTGTGGCCCCCCGGGGTCTCTTTATACAAAACAAAGTCGAGATCCCTGTCCAGGAGCAGCGGGTAGTCTAGTGGGTTCCAGGTCCAAAATTCCTGCAGTGGAGACTTTTTAGATGAAGTTGAAAGAATTCGGACAGGAGAGGTTCAGGTACTTGCTAAGGACCCCAGTGGAGGTGCGAGAAGCAGCTTTTTAGGGAACCCTCCCAGACACATGCTGTGAGGTCCCCTCTCCCGGTGGAAGTGGTCTTAGGGCATTAAGATTCAGGTTATCTGCTGCTAGGAGTTTTCTCAATTTTCTAGCAAGTGAGAAGTCACTGAGCAGGTGGCGCCAAGCCCTAGTCCTGGGGGCTCAGGTGTGAAACGTGGCGCCGTTGCTGAGCACCCTGCTCATCTCGGAGCACTTACTGAACTTCTCTGAGCTTTGGACCCTTCAACCTGTAGAATAACCACAGCTTCTAGGATTGCTTCACGGGTACATGATATAATATGTGTGTTAGTGCTAAAGACTATCATCATTATCTCACTGTTGTTACTGTTATTAATGAACTCGCTGAGGGTGGGGGTGATAGCCAGAAAGTGAGGTTTGCTTCCCAGGTGCCTCCCAGCCACACCCAGTGATGCGTGTAGACACAGGGGGCTGCTGGTTGTATCTGGCTGAAGGTTCGTGGGAAACTCGTAGGTTCAGGTCTGTGATGAACCTGGTCCTGGACGCCCTCAGGAGCCCTGCAGAACAGCACAGTGCTCTCTCCCCGACTTTGCGAGTCTGGAATTTTTCGAAGAGTTCCCTGAAACAATTTCCCAGCACTGGTACCAGGTGGATGCATTGGTTCCCCAACTGACTTGTAGGAGTCAGGGCCTGAGATTTGATTTTCCTTCTTTAAATAGAAAAGTTGCTCAAACCTTCTGTGATCTTTAAAGCAAAGTCATGAATTAGTGTTAACCTAAATTGCAGGGAAGGTAAATACATCAGATGGAGTCTGCATCGACTTCTTGGGGGCAAGTGTGAAACGAACATTTTATTTTGTGATTCTGGCAAAATAATAAATTGTCCCAGCAGGTCCAAGTGTACGATGCTGGGGATCACTGGAGATTTCCCTGTACCTCGAGTGCCTGTGGTTGTTTCTGGGCACCGGGGGAACTGAAAGTGCCTTCAGCCTGCCTAGAACCATACAGCTCAGCCCATCCTGCTCCATCCAAACCTTCGTTATTGCTTTTAAAATGAACTGTATTCCTTATGTGACTGCATTGTGATCTGTGTGTCTGAAGGTCCTGAGAGTAGAGAAAGAAAAATATTCTTGACATTTTTCATAATTGAGTCCATACTGTAGATGAAATTTCATATGCAGATTTCAAATTTTAACAATTCAGTCCTGATATTTTCTCATTCTATTAGAATTACGGATATAAACCTCCTTAAGAGAGTGGCACAAGGCGACGCCGAGCGCTGGCTGTACCTGGCTTTCTCACTGCCCCCCGGCCGCTGGCTCGCAGCTGAGTCTCGCGTGTCTGCGGCCACAGGGTCATTTCCGCCCTGCTCGTCACGGTCTCGCAGACCCTCTGCAGTCAGGGAAGCTGTAACCCTGAGTTGAGGGGCTGTGCGTGTTTTTGAAATTAAACAGTTTTATGGAGTGAAGGTCCCCCTTAGGTTTGACACATCAAAGCCCAGCCTGCCACTTCGGAGAGCACTTTGTGGTATCCCAAATCGGTTTCTCTTGCTTTTGTTTTACGCTCCTGTGTTTAGGCCACTAGCCAGACAGACCTGGAAAACTGGGTCACTGCCATACACTCGGCGTGCGCGTCCCTTTTCGCAAAGAAGCGTGGCAAAGAGGACACGGTCCGGCTGCTGAAGAACCAGACCAGAAACCTCGTGCAGAAGATCGACATGGACAGCAAGATGAGGAAGATGGCAGAGCTGCAGCTGTCCGTGGTCAGCGACCCGAAGAACAGGAAGGCCATAGAAAACCAGGTACCGCTGCTTCACGCGTGTTCTGCCCGTGGCCCGGCCCACGCGCCGTGCCCTTGGGGGGCGCTCGTTCCTCCCGTCTCTGGGGAAACGCTTTCCGTGGCCTCTCGTTCAAGTGCCCAGTGGTTGCACGTGTGTGACGTGGGCGATGTGCTTACACCCTTAGGCTGCTGTGCTCAGACCTGGAATGTTTTGTGCCCACATCTTGTTTGCTAACATTGATCGCACCTCCTTGCCTGGCTGAGTCTTTCAGATATTGTCACTTTCAGAACAAAATCTATATACTAAACCCGCTCGAAGACGAGACAGGTAAAATTCTAGTACAGAGGATGGCTTTGGAAAGGGCTGTTTGGGATGACGGCTATTCCTGTGTCTGGATTCCAAAAAACCAGCATTTTTTCCTGTTCATTGCAGATGAAGTGCTAAGGGAAATGCTTCCTCCGGTCTGATTTCGCATTCATGTAATAACGAAACAGAGTTTGTACGCTGTTTGCTTTTCAGAGGAGGAGAAGCAGCTTTTTGACATTTATTTTTCTTTGCTCGGACAACCTAACCCTCAGATGGGGGTCGGTGACGTGCTGCGCCTGTCTCCGCGGACACACAGTGAAAGCACCATCTTCACAGATGAGTCAGGCAGTGGCTCAGAGGGCAGACTGAAGGGGGGACAGTCCCTGGGCAGTGGATGGCACAGGTCCTATGTGCAGTTATAAAGACCTGGTCCATCTGGAGTAGCACAACAGAAGCTTAACAGTGTATATAGAAAACATATTTCAGAGTATATAATTTCTTTTTCTTTCTTTCTTTTTAACTCTGAAATCTTTTCATCTGGCTCAGAAGCCTATTTTCCAAACATCTTGTTGGCGTGCAAAGGGACTCAATGCTCCTGAATTGTCACTGGTCATGAGGCTCAGTGACCTTTTAGCATCTGAGACAATTCAGGGAGAGATGCACTGTCTCCTTGAAGGTTGGATACTTGAAAGGTCATCTGAGTCTAAAGTTTACTAATGGATCAATATATAGAATTACAGAATGTACTTCGTAAGACAATCTGATTCCATAGATTAGTGTTAATAAATAACATAATTATAGTGGCAGTGAGACTTCCCTGGAGTGTTATTACTAAATGTGGGAAATAAAAGCACGCCCTTTGGATCCTGTGATTCTGGATTTAAATGAAATCCACTATTAAGTACTCGTGTGATTTTCCCAAACTACTTGAACAGAGTATACAATTTCTATCCTTCTATAGAATCCTAAAGATAGCATCCTACATCCCTGAACTGAACTGTTCCTCAAACAGAACCTGCCCCCTGTTGAAAGAGGACCTGCTAGCAAGCTACAGACGACAGCGCAGTTTTAGCAGAGCTGCACAGGAGGTTGGGCCGCCTAGGAGAGTGCAGGGAGGTGGAGGGGGCTGGGGCTGGGCAGGAGCAGAGAGCTCAGCTGCGTTGCCTCCGCCAGCTGCTGCTGCTTCCCTCGGGTGGGACGCCTCGCCCGCTCCCATCCAGGGCGCTCAGGGCCCGCTCCTGGTCCCCTCGCTCTCTCTGTGCGACTTGTAGGGGCATGGTGCTGGGTCAAGGCTTCAGGGCAAGCAGAACGCCTGAGGAGGAGAGAAATGGCTATTCCAGTGTTTTCTCGGTTATCCCGGAGTTTCTAGAACCCAGTAGCCTCAGTGTGTGTCATCGGAGGTGCTTCGTGGACTCCAGTGTCTCGGATGGTTCAGGGCGCCCTGATCAAAGCTCTCGTGGTGACTGCAGTGGGGGGAAGCATGGCTTTAACTTTCACTGGCTCTAAACTGGAACTTCGAAGCCACATGTTAGTCTCCTGGAAGGGACGCCCAGCTGGCGGCGTCAGGTCCTTGTGTATCGTCACGTGTTTAGGTCGGGGAGAGAAGGGGGAGGTCGGTGCCACCGGATGGCTCCTGGTTCAACTTTTTCTTCTCCATCTCCCTTTCCCCTCTTCATGGCCACAAGAAGTCCAAGCCAACATTTTTAGAAATTTAATATTTTCATTAAATGTAACTGTACCCCCTTGCCCACAGCTGATAACTACTTAATTTATGATGCCACGGTTGGTGTTACCTCTGAGTGGGAGGTGGGGGTTCCTCTACGTGAATCCCCACGCAGACCCCAAGGGCTGGGGTGTNACCCCCTTACCCACAGCTGATAACTACTTAATTTATGATGCCACGGTTGGTGTTACCTCTGAGTGGGAGGTGGGGGTTCCTCTACGTGAATCCCCACGCAGACCCCAAGGGCTGGGGTGTCTGGGTGGCCTGAGGAGAAGCTCTTTCAAGGAATCGGGATAGTTCTTCCCGGTGCCCGTGATACCTCCTTTGACAGAGTCATCACTTCAGTGGTTTTAAGCCCACTGTGTCCAAGTCCGAATCTTTTATTTCAGGTCTCCCCCCTCTTACCCTGTTTTCCTCACCCCTTCCACGCACACACCATCTCATGCTACGTTTGTGAATTCTGGGTAAGAAATAATTCGGATTGATCCTCAGAAGTGCCACCTGAAAACAGGCTGCTCACCGTATTGGCCGTTTCCGAGGTGGTAATTTAGCCCTGTTCTCCCAGAGGGCTTTGCAGTGGGTAACAGAAGTACATTTTCTGGGCCCACTGCCCTGGCCTCATTTGCCAGGTGGCTGTAAAGAAGCTCTTCGCTCTTGAGTTGCAGACGCGGCGTGTAGGAAACGTTAAGGGGGGACAGGCACATGCTTAAAGTTAGTTTTATGAGATGCTCTTGAGATAACGTTACGTGACGTTACAGAGGCATTTGCAAATCAAGACCAACAGGAACACCGGCTCTCCAGTACCCCATAAGTATCGTTTTCTCTAAAGTACCGTTTGAAAACTTCTTTAAAGAGCAGTGCTTTATCCACTTACCATTAAAAAAACCTCAACTTCACTGTATTTTATTTTACATGAAAGAAAATGCTGTTTTATTTACAGAGCGCTCTCCCCCAGAGACCCCAAAACCTCAGAAAAAATCATTTATAGACTAATAATAGCTGGACTCACAGGGCACGTTACACATGCAAGATGAAGTCTCTGCAACAGGTTTTCTCCTAAGAACTTGGGTGGACAAGATCCTGGTCTATGGCCTGTCCCAATAAAAAGTCGTTATGACAAGAGTGTCAGCTGAACCTCATACTCTTCTATGATGATGACATGCTTTGCTTTAAAGAGACCCATCGTGTGGTCCTGGCCTAGGGCCTCTGGGGTCCGGGTGAGACAATGACAGTGACTCAACTTCCATTTGAGCGTATCCAGTGTGGAGCCAACCACGTAGCCACGCCACATGTCTGCTTTTGAAGTTCTGAGGCAGGAAGAGCTGTAAATTGAGTCCAGTTAGAACTTTGTTTTCCTTTCTGTTTATTATTTTCAACAAGTAAACAGGGACAACGCCTCACCCCCTCCCTTAGGCGGCCGTGGCCTCCTCTCAGATGGCTTCCCCCGCCCTTTCCCCCATCCTGACTCCGTTTGCATCTCTCTCCCCGTGGGTAACTGGGCTGGAGAGGGAGAGGCGGTGAGAATGGGGGTGATGCAGGGAGGCACACACTCGAGGTTGGTGGGCTTGGGGTGGCTCTGGGTTTGTGACACATGGGCTTCATCTTAAATATTTACTTAAAGTTTTAAAATTACAGAGGATGGATTGAATTTGGACAATTGGAAACTGGCGGAGGGAGCAAAGTGAATAAGGCCTGAGGGAAATCCGATATATATGGGGTGTGTGGAGGGGAAACAACTTGGAGAGTAAGCCATGGAGAGTCTGAAGGGTTTTGAGGGTGACAAGGCCACACTTCATTATGGAGGTGCTGGGCCAAAAGGTGGGCTTCAATCAGGAGGCAACGTGGAGGTGGCAGAAGGATTTGGGGCAGGAGATTAACATTCAGTTTAGTTCAGTGAGCGCTTATTAAGTGCAGACCCTGGGCCAGGCAGGTGTCCCCAGACTGGGGATTCAAAGGAGGTGCTGTGTTTGCCCTCAGGGTGCTCACAGACCAGCAGGGTGACAGACAATTGAGCACTTAATTTCAACATCATGTAATGAATTCAGAGCAAAGGATAGTCCAGAGTGTTTGGAAGACAAACTGGAAGTTTAGCCTCCTGTGTAGTCATGGAAGACTTCCTGGAGGAGGGATGCCTGAATTGCTTCTTAAAGAATGACCCTGAATTAATCAGAGGAGGAATGTAGACAGGCGTTCCAGGCTGAGGGTCAGCATGAGCGAAGGCCCAGTGCCCTGAAGCTGTGCGGTGCTCCCCGCAGTGTGAGTGTCCAGGCACGGGACGTGAAGTGGTTAGAGATGGAGGGGTGGGTAGGGCCGTCTTCTGTCTTCCCTGTAACCACCGCAGAGGCTGCCAGGTTTGCTGGTCCTCAGATGCATCTTCCAGACAAGGCCAGAGTGCTTTTTGCATCGAAAAGCAAATCTGATCATGTGATTACCACGTTTAAAAATCTTTCAGTGGCTCCCTGTTACTTACAAAATAAAGTCCCTGATAGCTTCTCCCCACCTCCACCTTTATCTGGCAACACCAAACTTCCTGTAGGTTCCCCTCCTTTCTTGGGTTTTTCCTCAGGCAGAGAAGACCCACATAAGCCACACACCCACATACAGACTGCCCCAGACCCCCTGCCCCTCGCCGTCAGGACTACTCCTCCTCCTCCGTGATGAAGGGTTTAGGGGTTATGCCCCCCAAAGGAGCTGACCTTGGCTCCCCTCCCACCCACTCCACCAGGGACCCCTTCTCGTCTCCTGTAAGTCTTGGCACCTCTATCACTGCTCTCAGCATGTTTTATAATGATCTCCTTGTGTATAAGGTCGCTTCTATGTGAAGAGTGATCCCCTAAAGGATCTGTAGCTTTCCAAGTCTGTCCCCAGGTACTTTCCTCGAGTTTGTCAGGGAACGCAGCTGTGTCTTCCTGCCTCTTGACTTCACACTGAGTCCCCTGCCACAGTCCTTGCCCCTCTCCTCGCCAGCTCTTGGCCTCTTTCCCTCTGGCCTTCCCTCCATCCTTCCCCAGCGAGCAAACCCTCGGGCTATGACCATGTATGATCTCACAGTAACCCCATGGGGTACAGTTGTGTGAATCACCCATTTGATGGGTGAGTGAATAGACCCTGAGAGAGGTTAAGTACGTTTTCTGATGTCACACAGCTGCTAAGTAGCTGGGATTCGAACACAAGTCTGTGCTCCTGACCAAAGGGCTCCACTGCCTCTCAGTAAGACTTTTACGAATCAGAATGTGTTTCACTTGCTAATTAACCAGGTGATGGCTGGTTTTATATAAAAGAGAAATTAATCCTTAATTTACTTGATTGCATAACTTGGAATTTTCAGCTCAAGTTGATGGGAAGTATATTTATTATATAACTGAATTTCACTGAATTTCACACTGAATATAATGTGAATTATATCTCAAAGGAAAACACAAAACAACGGATTCTCTAAACCTTTGCTGGTGTCCTACCTACCAGTTAGCTTCAGCGAGATCTGTATTTCTGCATGGGCTTCTCTGGGCTTCTTTGTGAAGGTGGATTTTAGTGCTTGGAAAATGCTGCCTAAGAGTTTCTCAGCTTAGCCTGTCAAAAAGCAAAAACGACTCATCTTTTGGGACAAAACTATTAATGGACGAATGACCAAGCACTATGATCAGATGACGAAATGTTTTTCTGGGAGCGCTGGACGTGGCGTGCATGTACGTGTCACCTTTTTATGTGTCTCGTTCATCTATGTTCAGCCGTAGACTGCATCTCCTCCCCCGCCCATTCCTGGAGCAGACCATGATCTTTCTGAGCTCATTAAATGAATATTAGCTATGTTAGCAACAAAGAGGGGACTTTTACATTGTGTCAGCGCTTAAAAACGGGAGTTTTCCTCCTCAGTTTTGTTAACTTTTCCATTGACAATGAAAGATAATGAAAAGTCACTCCTTTGAGTGAGTTTTCTGCATCTTTGTCATTTTTGTTTTGTGCACGGTCATTACGAGATACGAAAGCTTGATCTACGTAGAAAAAAGTTCAGTTGCTTCTTACTCTTTTGAGCTATTTACTCAGAACATACAGAGATGTAGAGCCCCTGCCTCCACGTATCCAGAGTCTGTCTGTGCTCAGTTCAGTTCGTCTGGTTTAACATCTGAGGCTGCAAATGTGAAGGGAAATGAGGCAGAGTGCAAAAACGGACCGTTGTGCGTCCTGCCTTTCATGGCGGGACTTAGAGCCGTGCCAGTCTCCGGAGGCCGTGCCGTCTTGGCGAGGCGCCGTGGGGACCCCCGATGCGATGGCGCACCTTCTGGCCCCATGCTTTGACGGGAGGCCTTGTGCGGGGTGAGCCAGGAGGCTAGTTCCAGCTGTGCCACAGCAGCACAAACGTGCTTGCCCTTGAAGTTTGGAAAGGCGTCACGTTTTCAGTTTGCCCCACGAACGCTTCTCATTTTCCTTTCAACTGCCCCTGTTCTTCTTGCACAGATTCAGCAGTGGGAGCAGAACCTGGAGCGCTTCCACATGGACCTGTTCAGGATGCGGTGCTACCTGGCCAGCCTGCAAGGCGGGGAGCTGCCCAACCCCAAGAGCCTCCTGGCCGCCGCCAGCCGCCCCTCCAAGCTGGCCCTGGGCAGGCTGGGCCTCCTGTCGGTCTCCTCCTTCCACGCCCTGGTGAGTGCCCGGGAGGACTGAGGATGCTCCCCTTTCTCCCGGGTGTTGCCCTCAGTGCTGCTGACTTAACCCGGTGACTGAGCAGGGCCCCCGGGGGCCGAGCCCGGGGGGCTGGAGGGCGGGGGTGCCCAGGCTTCCTGCTGCTGCCAGGAGTCCGGCTCCTGGTAGACAGTCACTGAATACCAGTCGGCATCGGCCTTTCCGTCTGTCCCTCCTCGGACAGTCAGGAAGGTGTGGCCGCGTGGGGTGAAGAATTGACAGGCTGGTTGAGGTTTGCTTTATTGGGCTTTCTGAACTCACTCCTGGGCGGGTGTTTCTCTGGGTGGTCCTAGCTCCGCCTGGGGAAGGGGGCTCCGTGGATTGTCCTGCCCACCCTGCTGTCCTCCACGGAGAGGCCTGGATGCCATAAAGGCCGGTGTTATCCAGATAAGTGATTGCTCTGGGGTGGGCCCATGTCTGGAGCATCAGACACGCCGTAGCTTCGGGGCTGGTCAGACGCCTGTAGAGCAGGCCGGCTGGTTTCTGTTAGGGTCAGTGGTTAGTTCTCCGTCACCCAAATGCTGTGCCTCAAGGCTTTTAAAAACTGCTGTGACTCAGGTGTGTTCCAGAGACGACTCTGCTTTCCGGAAGAGAACGCTGTCCCTGACCCAGCGAGGAAGAGGCAAGAAGGGCCTGTTTTCTTCACTGAAAGGGCTGGACACGCTGGCCAGGAGGGGGAAGGAGAAGAGGCCCTCTCTCACCCAGGCAAGTTCGGACAGACCTCGCGGGAAACCCTTGGTCCGCCCCCCCCCGCCCCGCTGCACGTCATAAACGTTCACTGTGCGTTGAGAATGAGATAAAAGTTGGTTCAAACGATTGAGCTCTTAGCCTGGACTTTTCCCCAAATGAAACACACAAGTCGGTCCATCTCCTTCAGGCACCCCCAGGGAGGTGTTGACTCCTTGCTTCCTTCCAGGGGGCTTAGTAACACAAAAACGAGAAGAGTCTGAAAAAGATCCACACTTTTCATTGCCTTTAGTACTAATATTTATTTTTCCTATCGATTTCATATTAAAATAAACGCGTAAATTCAATAATCAGAGTAACTGCGGCTAAATTCCATTGATAGTGCCAGACACTTAATCTTTGTGACGGGAGCAAAGTAGGCCTTTTATCATCACATTTCACAGATGAGGAGGCTGAGGCCTGGAGAGGTTCGGGCACCTCCTTATCCCGGTTCCCACAGCAGCTGAGGGGCTGGAACTTGGCCATCCTGGATCCGCAGCCCTGAAACACTGGCCTGTTGGTGCTGCTGAATTTCCCTGAGGAAGGGCGGCTCTTCTAACATTTTATCGAGTAAATATAGCCTGAGCACTGATTGTTGAAGGGTGGCCACGTACAGTGAATGGTTTTCAGAACATGCTGAGTGCTCATATCTGAAGCATTTCCTGACACTGTGAGTCCAGTGTATGATGCGAACTTTATGTTGCTGATCGACATGTTCTAGGGGTATTATTTCTTCAGAGACTATCAAAGAGATGAGTTATCATGTGGCGATCTAAGTGAGTAGGGAAAATGTTTCTGATTAAGTCCAAAGCGGTTCTTGTTTTTATTTTCAGCAGGTTATTAGTCTATGTTTTCGACATGATCCGGAAGAGAGGGTCACATTTTACGGAACTTTATATTTATTTGATTATGTATGACAGGTTTGTGAATTAGTGAATAGCAGGGGCCATACCTACTTCTTTGACCTGCTTGTAACTTTGGAGCAATACAGGTGGACGTGGTGGGAGTTGGTTGATTGGTAGGAAGACAATAGAAACGCATGAATGCGCTTTTATGGGGCCACTGCTTTTGGATATTCACATACAGTCAGAAAGAATGCACGTGCTAAAATTGTGGTCCCACTTGTACTTCAGTTGTGAAAAGTAACCATTTGTTAGTTATAAGTGGGAATGTATTTCTTTATAAATTGTAGTCAACTATAAAACATTGGCTAAGGCTGGGCTTATATTTTTAAATTGAACTTCTATGAAGTTTAAATAATGCCTTTGAGGCACATTTTGATTTTAATCAAGGTAGTTAATTCTATATAATTAAGTGAAAATGATAAGTAACTTGATAACTTCCTTATTTTTCTTAGATGTTGACATTTCGCTAATGAGATACGAGCCTAATAGGGTCACTACTCTATCACATGTGGTAAATGTTCCCAACATAAGGTTTCTTGATAAACAAAAGCATTTGGTTGAACATTTTTGTTTTTAAAAGATATGGAACTAATTATAGTGTTGGTCTTTCTATAAGTGAATGGAGTTGACGGGTAGCAGGTATCCATAAATGTTTAAATGGCTTATTCTATTTTTTTTCTTAAATATATTTTTATTGATTTCAGAGAGAGGAAGAGAGAGGGAGAGAGAGATAGAAACATCAGTGATGAGACAGAGTCACTGATCGGCTGCCTCCTGTGCACGCCCCCTGCTGGGGATCGAGCCCGCAACCCCGGCATGTGCCCCGACTGGGAATCGAACTGATTCATGGGTCGGTAACTGCTGAGCCACACCGGCCGGACTAAAGGGCCTATTCTCTAATGTCTGTTATTCTGCTACCAAGAATTGGAAAAAATAAAGGAAATTGCTCTTAGTTCTTCTACCCAAACACAGTGAGTTTTAATATTGAGTCACATTCCTTCCCAATATTTATTTCATGTGCATTTAAAAACCAGTTAGGAGCTTGATTTGGTAGCTTTGCCAAATCGGGTTTGAGTTCCAACCCACATCTTTAGAAATGAGTACTTCTTGGTTAAAAGCAACGTCAAAAAGACCCAAGATGACTTGAAAAGTAACATCATAGAAAAGCAAAATATGTAACCATAGGGGAGGAAAGAACAGCAACTTTTTCTTCAAAATTAAAACTTTAAATGTGGTAGAGTGAAAAATAGTACAAATTGTGATATGAAAATCTTATGAAATGTTATAGAACTTAAACTTGTAAGTACATTAGTCTTACTCCCCCCGTCTATCAGACATTTGATTCCCGTGGCAGCCGTGGATTTTCTGGGGCTCAGCTGCCTTAAAGCTCCAGGAACTCCAGCGAGGTAAAGGCTGCTGTAGACGAGCCCTCGGGTCTTCCACGGTGACACGGAGGCTGAGTTAATTGGGCAGTGCTGGCTCAGGATCCTTACTCGAACGATTGGGTTATTGGGTTGAAAATAACTTCAGAGTTGAAATGGCCCCAGTAGGTAAATAAGAGATAGTCTTGGAATGCCAGGCATTTTTGAGGGCATCTAAACTCATGATAAGTCCATCTTAGAAGTGGCAGGTCTGCAGTCAGAACAGAAGCTCTCCTTCATCCTTGGCTGTCCCTCAGCAGTGCTTACCCCCACCTGAGAGGTTAGTGACTTCAGAATTGCATTTTCCTCCCCGGCTCGTCGGGGATCCTCACACAGATCCGTGCTGTGGTTCACACCGGGCTGTGATCAGCAGCCTGTGGAAACTTTGCCGTTTTCCTCACGGAGCTGAGTCCAGGGTCCCCTTTGAGGCCCAGAATGGCGTCTGAGAGAGCACAGCCTCAGCTGCTTCCGCGTGGAGCCCGGAGGTGGTGGAGGTTGTCTGCACGAGCCTAGGTCTCTTCTCTGTGTCTTTTTTCAGCCCCACACCTTCCCGTGAAACTGTTTCATGTCTCTGATCTGTTACCCCACCTTCCCCATCACATCATGTTATTGTGGGTTTTATGCCCAGCAGCCCTCTAAACTACTCGGCGAGGCTGAAACCAGATATTAATAGTCTTGGAGAAGCTGAATATGCTCTTGCAGAAGCAGGCGGTGTTACTAATGAGTTAACTGGGGTAATTCAGTGAATTGGGAATTTAGTTTGAAAAACTGGGGAATGGTGGAGAGTGAGACACTGTGACAGGTCCTGGGTCGGGGATTGGGGGTTGAGTGAAGGACTCTCTGGTGATTCTAAAATATACAACATAGACGGCCACCTGTTCTGCCTTCAGGGGAGGTTGGCCTTGACCCTGGGCCCGGAGCTCAGTGCACCATGGCCGCTGTTGAAACCACCGCTAGGTGGGAGCACTGTCTGAAATGGGGTGGAAACCCCCCTTAAACCCTGTCCCCTTCACCTCCAGCCTTAGAGGTCTTAGAGGTCGGAGGAGAGGGCAGCTGTGAGAGGTGGCTTGCCCAGGAGGTCACATCACAGGCGGGTGTTGCCCCTGTCTCTTCATGGTTCTCTCCCTTTGCTAAAGCTGACCAACCACGGGGGCGCCAAGTCCAGACTTTCCTTTTATCGATCATGCCGTCAAAATGCCAGGCTTCTCATCATGAACAATTTCCAGTCCCCACCCCTTTATTTCTATACACTCGCAGAGCCTATTTCAAAATTCAGATCCGATCACACCTTCCTCCAGGGGTTTTACTTCATTTTGTTAGAAAAACCGTATCACTGTGAGTTGCTTGGTTCTTACTCTGTGTTACTCTTACTGTCAGTCATCCCAGCAAGTATCTCTGTCCTGTTTCCCTGGGCAAGCTTGTGATCAGGACCGTGTGCATATTGTCTATGAAGGTCTCATGATTATGTGTGTACTCTCCATAGCGCACTGCCAAGGATATGGTCTTGCTTAATAAATTTGCTTATTTATTGTCTGTATTAGATGTAGTCCTTTAATGGTTGAGAATTGTTTGATCTGCAATAAAAGCCTATTTTAAGATTGTATCTCTTCCAGCCTTAAATAATTTAACATTTTTACTTTGAACATTAAGAAATAGTATCATCAAAGCACTTTCTGTTAACATAACTTATGTTGGACTTTGAGAATAAATTTTGCTAAAGTAGCCATTAATGATTAGAATTATTTCAGTTGGGCTCAAGTTACCAAAAGTTCTTGTGATTTCATTGGCAAGTCCCATTGGTGCTCTAAGGGCAAGAGAAAACCATTACTGCCTCTGTCTTGTAAAGCTTGTGTATTTAAAGTTATCTCTATTTATTTTAACAAAATGTTGCTTCTGGTATAGGGACGCTGAAGAAATTCCTTTGACCTATGGGGCTGTTTTAATGGTGTATTTATATTTTGGTACTATAGACTCAGATAACTGGGTTTAATTGACTTGCAGATGGAGAGCATTTGTTTTTATATCTCTCTGGGACTTAAAATTCTGCCTGTAGCTGGTTGAATAATTAATATCATACTTCCCTACTTTTCGTCTGCTAATCAGTCTTGGAGAACATTTATAACTTGCACAAACCATCTATTTGTATACAGTCAGCGTATTATGTCCATTAATGTAACACAGAAAGTAACACGTAACAGCAGTCATTGCTGAGCGGTGGGAGGGAGGGGGCCATGTGCAGTTTTAACTGTTCCACTCTCATTGGTGCCTCGTGTAACAGTTCAACAGGGAGTCACCCTGACTCGAAATCTGTGAAGTTGGCATCGAGCCAGTCTTCGTTGAGCATTTTTTAGAGGACAGTGCAGCTAGCCCCAGATGAAAGCTTTTTTTTTTTTTTTTTAATATATCTTTATTGATTTATCTTTATTGATTTCAGAGAGAGGAAAGGAAAGGGAGAGAGAGATAGAAATATCAATGATGAGAGAGTCATTGATTGGCTGTGAGCCCGCAACTCAGGCATGTGCCCTGACTGGGAATCGAACCCCGATCGCCTGGATCCTAGTTCAACGCTCAACTGCTGAGCCACGCCCGGCCAGGCTAAATGAAAGCTTTTTATAGGTGCTTCTCAGTTGAGGAGTAATGAGTCTCAGTCGGTGTTTGCAGGGAGGTGTTTGTCCTGGAGATTGTGACAACCAGCCCCCCACCGAGGCTCAGGAGAGGCAGCTACTCCAGAAGCTTCGGGGCGGAAACTGAGCCCTTGGGCCTTGGCTCTCCTTCCCGGAAAATTGGCTTGGGGTGTCCCAACGGTCTGTGGCCTCGAGTGAATGAAGTATTGTCACATTAGTCATTAGCTCCAAACTGGAAAAAAAATGCTAATGTTGGTTTTTAAAATGGAAAATAGGAATGAAACCACTTACTCTTGACTGTAACATAGTATTTGTTTAAATTGAATATTAGTCTGGAACCCTACTTAACAAACTCATACATATGCAGATGGATGGATGGGAGAGAGGGAGGGACGATGGCAGGAAGGATGGAAGGGAAGGAAGAGAGAAAGATGGGCAGACATTGGTCATTTTCTTTTCATATTAACTGATGTTTGGGCATCAGCACGGGAAGGAAGTAAACACTTTCTCCTCTGTGACATTTGCCTGTTAAGAAAACCCAGAGATGTAAGTCCTTTTGCTTTCTCCTGTCCCGCTCGCTGATAGCCTTGCCTTTTATCAGCAGCCCTGGTGGTGTGGGTGTGGCCCGTTTGTGACGGGCAGGCTGTCATTTTGCTACTGACTTCCCTTCAGTGATCCAAGTAGTAATCACGGGCCATTTGAACCAGGAGCATCTGCTGCGAGGACACACGGGTTTCAGTTTTCCCTCCTCCAGGCACACTGTGCAGAAGCCATCTGACGTGTGCTTTCAGGGCCATCCATGTAATGATAATAATAATAAATAATAATAATTGCTTCTGTGGGAGCTGCCCTACAACGAGGACTGAAGTGGTTTGTAAACCTTAACCGGTTAATCCACAGAGGCCAGAGCTTCAGGTCAGCCGTGCTGCTCCCGGTTTGTGGACGGCTGGCGGGAGCTGGACCGCTCGCCGTGGCTCCCCACGGTGATTCTCACTCAGGTCTTCGTAGCGGCCTCCGCTGAATCACAGTGGTTAAATCTATTCCAGTGGGATGCCGCCCTCCAGGCCGAACTTCAAGAACGTTCTTTCACATGGTTGTAGCTCTTCATAGAAAACGGTGCAGTTTATGTTCCTTCAAATGCCGTAGCTCACACCAATCCCCCCTCCCCAGAGGCTGACATTTTTAGCTCTTCAAAGGGGAAGAACCTGAAGCCTGGAGACGTTAGATAAGGAGCCCTGACGAGGCTGGGATTTGACCCAGATTGTTCTATTTTTACGGCCTCTGCCTGTCTTCTGCAGGACCTGGAAACCTGGAATGGGCTAATTGGAGACTAATTTTGAGAGGGATGGAGGGGGGAGTAGGAGGCAGGCTGGGTTTGCAGCCGTCCTGACAGAGGTAGCCAAGCATGGGCTTGGGTGAGTGGTTAAAGATCAAACTGGGAAGAGGGTTTTCCAGACGGCGCCATGTGTTGTGCTGCTTTTTAAGATCATCTGTGCCTTTTATGAAAAAGAATGTAGGAGAGTGTTTTATCTGGCTTGTTGAAAATAAAGCATGTGTATCTTCAGCATGGATAGCATTGGCCCGTGAGGAAATCAATCTAGTTTTCTGTCCAAATGGGCAAAACCTACAGCAGCCTACGGGAGCTGTGAGCACCAAATAGCCTGTTCTTTTTCTAGGTCGAATTAATCACTTCCACATTCTTGACACTGCCTTCGCATGGCCAGGTTTTTACCTCTGTAATTGCGTGCATTCTGGGATGTCTGTGTGTGTGCAGTACACACAGAAAAAAATTATATATAAATTTTCCTGGAGGGATCTCTTGAGAGGGCCTGAGTCTTCCTTGGCCTTGGCTTTGATGGGCGTCTTTTCCTCTGTCACCCCCTGCACCTGAGGTCAAGGGTAGACTCAGGAAGGGATTCCTCAGGCTGCTGTAGGCACAAGCCCAGATTAATTGAGTATAATGTGAGTATTTCTCTTGTCCTTCCTTCCGTCTCTGCCTTTCCCTGCACACTGTTCTCTTGTCCAGGATTTGCTCCCTGGTAGTAATCTGTTAATTTCTCTTCCTGAATTTCTAGGGAAGATGGAGAAGTTGACACTGTAGAGCAGATTTGAGTAAGGTACTAAAACTTAACAGCTTTTGCCTTGCAAGCCTATGTATGACTGAATTTCTAGACGTTTCCAATTCAGCACCCATATGTTCTGGGCGCAGGACACACTGCATTAGGGGCTGAAGGAGACTGAGGAGCCTCTCCTGTTATGTCATTTATCTTAACACCCGGCGGCGCCAGAGCAGCCTGGAAATGACTGCTGAGCTGGGCTTAGCTGAAGCTCTACCAGGAACACAGCAGAGTAGACCCATCTAACTGCACGGAATTGGGGGCATGGGGTGAGCGAGCAGGAAAGACTCATGAGATCAGGGGAGCATTTGAAATGAGGTGAAAGATATAAATGGTGTCAGCGCTGAAGCCGCGAGGAAGGTAAAGCTGCACAGGAAATGGGCATGGTGGTGAGCGAATGGCAGGTGAGCCATTTGTTCAGCCTGAGTGCAGCAGGCGGCCTGTATAACGGAAGGAATCGGGAAGGTTAGGCGGCGTCCTTTCCGTGGGGAGGCGACCGCCAGGCTGATATTTCTATGTAGTGTCACGGTGGGGAACACACACTCAAGCCAGGTTCTAGGGCTCGGATCCCCACAGTCGCAGCTCTGTGTGTGAGCTTGCGCAAGGTTCTAGAACTTTCCCAGCCCGATCTTCCTCACCTGTTAAATAGAAGGCTGTGAACAGTGAGTGATGACAGCATGTCAAAAACCGATTCTGTTGGCCCTGTATGACCGCTCTCGGGTGGACAGCCAGGGGTGGGCCGGGAGGGCTGGGTTGTGAATTTGCACTCCTCATGTCCCTCCCCATCCATCCATCCATCATCCGTCCATCCATCCATCCATCCATCCATCCATCCATCCATCCATCCATCCATCCATCCATCCCCAGCCACATCTTTCCTGTCCTGTCCTAAAAGTGCAGAATTAAACTGCTTTGCAGCAGGAGCCGGGCTCTGATTTCCCCTTGGACGGGCTCTTTGTTGGTTTCTTGCTCCACAGCGACCCCTGCTGGGGTGTTAGTTTGATTCTGAGTAGGCGTCGTCTCGGAGGCAGTTCCTGCGTGTTGCTGCCTCGCCTGGTTGAAATCACTGCTCAGATGACAGGAAGTACTGGGGAGGTTTCCCAGAGAAGAAAATGGGACCCTGTGAGAAAAGGACCCCTCAGGAGACAGTGGCGTCCACCTGGTTCCCTGCGTCCTTGACTCCAGGCATCCATCCACTCCTCTGCCTCGTTTCTGCCTTCATTTTGGCGCATGCGGTTCATACGCATCCTGGGCTGTGATCGTCTGTCCAGGAAAATGTACAGAAAGTGACAGATCCGTACAGACCCAGAAATGCCACTCAGATGAGCACCACGTTTAAAATGACAACCCAGAAAGATGAGTCTTCCCTTGCTTGGCTTTTTTAAAAACTTCTTTAATATATCTATTTTTGTTTTTAAATCCTACATAGGAGGACCTTTTGCTTTCTTTCATGCATGGAATTCAAAGTAAAGTCATCAAAGAGAACTCGAAAGTGTGATGGGGGGGTTAGCACCACGTAGTATTGAGTCCGTATGTAAGGTTTCTGCTGTGTACGATTTTCTCACGCATGATCTCCTTTGCTCACAAAAGCTTGTATTGTTCGTTAAAAACCTCAAGTAATTGTATCAATAATATCCGCTTTCACAGAGTGGGACACAGGCTCAGCACAGTACGTGTCCTGTCCCAGGCCACCCCTTGCTGGCTGAGCGTTTGTGACTTGAGCAGCAGGCCTCTCGGACCCCCTGGCCTGTCTGCCACCCGGCTCCTGTGAGAAGGCAGTGGGGGAAGGCCTTTCCCAGCCGCCTGGTCACTGTGAGCCAGTTTGGCTCAGGAAGCCTTAGAGTGCGGGCCAGCCCGGTCTCGAGTGGCTGTGGTGATGAGCGTGCGGGAGACTCAGCGTCTTCAGAGAGGGCCGGCATTTCGGGATGGCTTCTGAAAGCATGCGTCAGGGTGTGGAATAAGCTGAAGGGCAGAAACCGCTGTCCCGGGAAGAAGGGCTGATCCTCGGGAACGAGTGAAGCGGGGGAAGGATGCTGCTCAGCCGCAGCGCAGTGCGGGGCAGGGCGGCCCAGAGCCTGCCTGCGTTCAGGGGACCACCGCTCGGGTCGGGCTTCAGCCGAGAGCAGTGAGCGGGACACGGAGCAGTCCCTGCGCTGCCCGCGGGGCTCTCAGGCCCAGAGGCCGAAGCCACAGGGGCGAGGGCGGCTGGCGGGCCTGCAGCCTCCCTGGGCGGGGGCTTCGCAGGGGTTAAATAAGGAAACATTAGGCTTGTCTGCCCCCCAGGGTCCTGGGGAGTCGTCGACGCAGAGCGTGAGAGGGTTACTGTAAAACACGCCGTAAGGTCCGGGGATGTTATTTCAGGAGCTTCCCTCATTTTTTAAAATCAGATCTGTCTGCATTCTCTGTTGGACTCTAAACAGGCCGATGAACTTCTGCATCTGTGCGGCTCAGCAGGAGACGGCGCCCCCCGGGACCACACGTGGGGGGTCCAGACCTACATCCACTTTCAGGACAACCAGGGCGTTACCGTGACGCTCAAGCCGGAGCACAGAGTAGAAGATATTTTGACTTTGGCGTGCAAGGTAATGGATCTGCTGCAGGAGTATAATTCTCAAGAAAATGGTCATCGACGTTGCCTTCCTAGGCTTTCTAAGTCTGTGTGGTGGTTAAACCCCACTTTTTACACCGGGGAACATATTAACTTATTAATTAACTTATTTATTAATTAGTGTTCTTTTCTGTGTTTTAGAGGCATGAATTGTTAGGGCACTGCCCCTTGCCTCAGGGATGACCCGAGCTATTTTCCTGAAATTCCGTGAATCCCTTTCTATCTAGAATTAATATGAAGGCGGCTGTTATTAAGTTACTTAGAGATGGTGCCCTGGAAGAAGGTGGCATAAACTTTGAAGTAGTTAGATTTAATACTAAATAGTTTTTCCGAGTTTCTCTAGATTAATCAAGGAACTTGATACCACTCACAGTGGTTTCATGGAGACCGTTAAGTTTTATGCATTATTCAAATTGGGTTTTATTTCTGAAAACGTAGCTTATGATAAGTCACTGAGATAGACAGAAATAGACTCAGCATCACCAGATTGGATGTTTTTAGACCACCAGATGGCAGAGTAGAGCTTAACTATTTTTAAGTTTTCAGAGAAAGTACAGTTAAGTATGTGAACCAGTAAAAAGGCACGTAGAGGTTGGTGACTTCACCACGCGCACTTCATAGACGTCGACGATCCTCAGTCTTTTGTCCCTTTGAGTTGAGCCTGAGTATACCAGACACTTACATATGTTACTTACGTTCTTATTAATTCCCTTTTCCTCCATTATGTAAAGGTTTAGTTCACAGTCAACAATGTTTTATAGCAGTGATGTCAGTTATTAACTTGATANGGTAAAAAGGCACGTAGAGGTTGGTGACTTCACCATGCGCACTTCATAGACGTCGACGATCCTCAGTTTTAGTCTTTTGTTGCTTTGAGTTGAGCCTTAGTATACCAGACACTTACATATGTTACTTATATTCTTATTAATTCCCTTTTCCTCCATTATGTAAAGGTTTAATTCACAGTCAACAATGTTTTATAGCAGTGATGTCAGTTATTAACTTGATAAAGTTCCTAAGTGATAGAGGTTGTCAGAAATAGTGGGTCAGCTAGACCCGGGTAGAACACAGAGCTGGGACAGCCTCTTGTTGAGTGTGCGTGAGAGAGTGTGAGCGAGTGAGCGAGCAAGAGAGAGCGCGAGTGAGCGCAAGTGTGTGCATAGCCATTTTCCTTTTGAAAAGTTTTTAGAATAGGAAATCCTAAGTCTGAAGTCTATAGAATACGAGATGGTTCACATTTCACAGATTTCTCTACTTTAGCAGTGGGAAATAACTTATATCGATATTTAAAGAGTTAGCATTTACTATGATACAGGGGTGGGCAGAGTAGTTTTACAGTTGTAATGTGAATAATAATATAATTACCAATAAATAATAAAGCAAGAATAAACCCTGTGTTTCACATACTCACAACTGTGAGGCTGCTTTTCCCCACCCCAGTGTATTCTATTGTCAGATATATGCTACTAAAACCTCTTAAAAATGTATCCCTTGCTTTTAGTGGTAAGCAGTATTATTTACAGAAACCTTCTTGAAGATAATTCTCTCTTCTTGCCTTTTTAAAATTCAAGTTCTTACCTAGATGTAAACTCAGCAACTTACATATGGTATTTTTTTTTAGAAATTTCCACTTTGATTTTTAATGAATGATGAATTTAGAAAGACTGTTTAAAATCGGAGTAATTAACTTTTTCCTTATAGATGAGGCAGTTGGAACCCAGCCACTATGGCCTACAGCTTCGAAAACTGGTGGATGAAAACGTTGAGTACTGTACCCCTGCCCCGTATGAGTACCTGCAAGAACAGGTGAGCGTGAGCCTCAGGAAGACAGATCGGAGCCACATCCATGGCCTCTTAATTTAATTTTTTTTTTAATTTAAATTTATTGATTTTGGAGAAAGAGGAAGAGGGATGCAGAGGGAGAGAGATTTGTTGTTCCATTTATTATGTATTCATTGGTTGATTCTTGTATGCGCCCTGACTGGGGATCGAACCCACAACCTTGTTGTATTGGGACAGCACTCTAACCAACTGAGCTACCCGACCGGGGCTTAATTTTTAAAAAATAAGTAATTTGCGGGGAAATTCTGTTTAAATTTGGCATCCGGTTCGGAGACAGTCGCGACGAGTTCCCAGGCTGTCGCGGCGTCCCGCCCCTGACCTGCGGTTCCCCCCTCGCAGGTTTACGATGAGATAGAGGTCTTCCCGCTGGCCCTGTACGACGTGCGGCTCACCAAGACCGGCGCCGTGTCCGACTTCGGTGAGCACAGCAGCGCCCCACCTCCTTCCTGCTTCGCCACAGCGTCTTCCCACCCAACGGTTTCCCCTTGAATTGACATTTTCAGAAACGATGACNAACCGGTTTCCCCTTAAATTGACATTTTCAGAAACGATGACAAGGGGAGTTTCTGAACTCCCCTTATCTTTCTTTATTTTTACTCATTTATATTAGCAGGCTAAAAAGATATGTGTTAATATTAGGGAAAGAGGCCAAAGTCATTAAAAGGAGTGAGTATAAAAGTTGATGAGAAACTTGACGTGATGCTGATAACCTTACAATGAATTTACTGTGTGCCGGGTGCTGTCCTGAGCTGATGAACCACCGATTCCCGTGACAGCTCTTTTCATCGCGGTGGCTTTGCTCTGGGCTCACTTTCACCCTTCCCTGCGCCCCTCCCTCCCCCCCTCGCTGATGGAGTAAATCAGGCCTGTCCTTCAAGAACTGACTGGGGGACTCACTTTCTTGAAGAAGCCTATCTGATTGCTTTAGCCTCAGTTTCACAATTTAGGTCAATACGACCCAAATCACTTTGTAATATTTAATTCTTGCATTTCTATTAGTCTTTATTTAAACTTGTCTTTGGACTCTTTATAGACTCTGCTCATGCATCAGGTTCATTTCTGTCTTTTACCATCTGAACTCAATAATTAGATAATCAATAGAAAGATTCTCATCTTGTTAAATATATTATTAATATAATTTTTTTTTTATTAAAATGACTCAAGCTGGTCAAATTCTATGCATTGCTCATTATGTTAAAATTTCCTTTTTAGGACTTGTTCTTTTTTATTTTTCATAATCTCTTTCACCCAAATGTTATGTTGGTTTTTCCCTGAAAGCCCTCAAGGCATTTTATCTGTACTTGTGTTGACCTTCACTCTCCTTCCCATGGTCACCCTTTCTTTGTGACTCTCCTTTGCATTGAATGACTGAATGAAGACAATTGCAGAGATATTTTCTGGTGGCCACTGTCTGCCAGGCTCTGCCAGAGGCACAGAGCAAACAGGGGGACGTGCTAGTCTTTCTGCATCGGAGACTCCCAGTGTTATGGGAACAGGACATGGAAACATGTGCCCCTCACTGTGGAGTCACAGGAGGGCGGTCTCTGGGTCAGGAAGACACATTTACAGGAGGCTTCCATGTAGTCATATTATGGCAAGCACTCTATCCGTCCGACCATTTCTCTACCTCCTTAAAATGCCTAGCCCCATAGAGTTTCTTAACAAATACTATTTTATAGAAAGGAATTTGATTTATTTCAGTAAGACTATTTTTTGGTCTTAACTTTAAAAGAAAAATTAAATTGTAGTGAACTACGCATAACGTTTACCATTGGAACCATTTTTTAGAACGATTAGAAATGACAATTCAGTGGCATTAAGTACATTCACATTGTTGTGTGACCATCACCACCATCCATCTCCAAGACTGTTCATTTTGCAAAACTGAAACTGTACCTGTTAGAATAACCCCCACTCTTCCTTCCTCCCACCCCTGACAACCCCGTCCCACTTTCTGTCTCTATGAATTTGACTACTCTGGGTACCTCATGCAGTATTTGTTCTTTTGTGCCTGGCATAGTTTCGCAGAGCATGATGCCCTCAAGGTCTGTCATGTTACAGCATGTATCAGAATGCCCTTCCTTTTTAAAGAGTGAATAATATTCCATCACATGGATATACCACAATGGATCCATCCACGCATCTGTGGGTGGGCAGGGGGGTTGCTTCGGCCTTTGCCTGTTGTGAATCAGGCCCCTGTGCACATGCTTGTATGGCCTCGCCTTCCCAGTAAGGTTGTGTATTCTTGTTTCTTAAACCTTCAGATCTGACACGTTCCTCTTCTTCTAGGTAATCATGCTTTCAAAATAGTTGTAACTTAGGCTCTCTGTGCAGACTGTACTTAAAAGAATAGGTGTTTGAGAAAATCCTGCTGGCTCAGTTGGGAAGTTAATCGTGTGGCTAACATGCCTGTATTCCTAGGGTTTGCAGTGACCGCGCAGGTGGATGAGCGCCAGCGTCTCAGCCGGATATTCATCAGTGACGTTCTCCCTGACGGCCTGGCATATGGCGAAGGTCCGTGCGCCACCGGCAGTCTCTTCTCTTCTGATTCAAACCTGCGTAATGCAGCCTGCCTAGTGGAACTTGCTTCTTACAGCTTTGTTGGAAAATGGTTTCTCCTAGAATTTTAAAGAAAGCGAACTTAGTTTAATTGAAAATACATATGTGTGTATGTGTGTGTTGAGTCGTGTATGTGTTTTGAAAGACAGAGTATGTACATACATAGAACATACATGCCTATTATACAGATGGATGGAGAAGACAGGCAGAGAGACACAGATAAAACAAGTGTAATTTCCAAGGGCACTTAACATCAGATAAATTGAAGAACAGTTAATTTGAATGGCTCTCAAATTGTTTCCCCTTTGAACTATTTGACCTAATCCTAGCCTTGAGAGAGCAGAAATTTGTTATCAGTGGCATCCAAATACATTCTGGCACTTTCTTTGACGATAGCAACTGACCAGCCCCTAGGAGCTCACAATTTGCGTTTGCAGCTTTCTTTCCTCTTGAAATCTTTTTTCTCAGTAATCTCTCTTTTTTCTTCCTCCATTTCCCTTTTCTTGTTCCAGGGCTGAGAAAGGGCAATGAAATCATGACCTTAAATGGGGAAGCTGTGTCTGACCTCGACCTGAAGCAGATGGAGGCCCTGTTTTCTGAGAAGAGCGTGGGGCTCACTCTGATCGCCCGGCCCCCAGATACCAAGGGCACCCTGTGTACTTCGTGGTCGGACAGTGACCTGTTCCCCAGGGACCAGAAGGCTCTGCTGCCGCCTCCTAACCAGTCCCAGCTTCTGGAGGAATTCCTGGATAGCTTCAAGCAGAATACGGCCAATGGTAAGCTTTGCTCTCTCTGCCTCTTAACCGCTGGTATCCGCCGCTGAGAGTTTCAGGCTGTTCTTTTGCTAGCAGACTTAGATTACTGAAGCTGTTCGAAAGGTGTTTTCTCATTTATTAGAAGACAAACACAAATGCCAACCAAGTAGATTCGGTAAAGATTCCATGCACATTACTAGTCATAACACTTTCATGAAAATAGAAGATCATCAATTTTGCACAAAGTAACATTCTTTAAAATTTTAGACTCTTTTTACCAGTCACCCATGGTATTTAGTATCGTAACTGCTTTGTGATTGAAGGCAGACAAAAGCCAATGGAAACAGCAGGGTTCATTTTTCTCCTCAGTTGAATCAAAAGCAGAGACATTTGCAGTCATCTGTTGGGTTCTTGGAATAGTTGATGCAAGTCAATTCTTGGCCACTTTTGTTAAGTACCACTTTCTCAGTAAACTGCAAACTTTTAATGTAGGTCATGAATTTTAAAATTTGTTGAGGCCTAAAAATGGAAACTAGTCGGCCAGTTTGTTTTTCTAAAGGTGAAATTTCCAGGTGAGGCAATCATGTGAAGGTTTGAACCTCCAAGTTTAGCTTCCTGGATGTTTCCTACACGTAGCCAAGTAAACCAGGGGCCCCAGCTAGTCCTGCGGACCTGCGGCTTCTCTCCGTGCTCCTGGCGGAAGCTGCCCAGCTCTCGTGGGAGACGGAGCATAGTGTCTTCATCCAGCAGGCGCACAATGTAATTTTTATACTTAATTACGATGACAGTGGATTTCCAGTTGCAATCTCTGCATGATTACCAAAAACACCGAAGAGAAAAACACCAAGGAGAAGTTGGTAGGATAGACTTAATTATAAAGCCAGTTTATTAGGTCATTTTTGGAATTAAAAAATCAGTTGGTAAGATTTGTGATTCAATAAGGTATATAGTGCTTTCTTCTCTCCTCTTGAGGCTTCACTCCAATTTCAAATACCATTAGATCGACTCCTGGTGTATAAAAGTGAGTGTCATAAAACAAATTGTGATGGAGCTAATTAATTGCTTGGTTCCATGAGGACTATCATTCAGCTTCCCGGGGCTCCGTTACAGGCCCGAGGGCTCCCCGAAATACACACGCGTGTCCCCTCCCTGGATTCATTATTCTCGGGGGACGCATTGCCTGCCTGTAAACTCTCTATGTATTTTACCATCATAAGAAATCACTGCTGTTTCAACACTTTGGGACTTGCAGGAATGAGTTTTACAGAAAGCAGCAAAAGCAGTAAATTTACCCTTTTTTAAATAGTGAGGATCTAGCAGATCAGTGACGCTTGTTTACCGCTTTCTCGGTTGTTCAAGGAAGCAGAATAAAGCAGAGGAAGCGGAGGCCCGCGCACTTTAGATAGTCTGATATGACTCATCCCAGGGAGCCGCGCTCACTTTCTCAGCCCTCACGGCTCCCCTAAGGAGCCCCGGGCGGTGGGTGCAGATGGTGCTTGTCCACAGCTGCTCTTCCCACGGGCCGCGTGCAGCTGCGGTGCCCGCATCGGCGCGTCCCTCCCCTCCCTGGACGGCGCCTCCCACCAGCCCGCACAGAGCCACTGACCACCCGGGTTCCTGGCCAGATGCGTGCTCTGCGGGGTGCACCATCCTCCCGGGGAGCGGCCCCGCCCGCCCGGCTGAGACCGGCCCCTGTACTGCTCCGTGGCCACGCGCGGTGCGGGAAACCAGATGCAGCGGTGGGCTGCTCCCCACACCCCCTGCACCCCTGGAGTGCTTGGTTTCTTTCTGAAGCAGCTGCATGGCCTGTGGAGGAAGCGAAATGCCCAGGAGTGAACATCGCAGAGGAAGTCTGTCCACCTTTAAGGTTGCGGGGAAGGAAATAGGGCTGGGCCTGCGGGGAAGTGACAGGTGAAGAGAAAGAAGAGAGAGTCTCACCCGTGCATAGTATCGTGATCACGAGAAGCCTGCGTTTGTTGACACCAAGAGGGGGTGATGTGGCGACAAGCTTGCAGGCTTGCAGTCAGACCCGGGTTCGAGGCCTGGTCTGCCCTTTCCAGGGGGCAGCCTTCAACCAGGGAGGTGTGGCGTGAGTGAATGTCACCCCAGTGTCCTATCCCCTGCTGCGACAATTCTTAAGATGGCCCCTGGAATTGAGTCCCATTTGCACATGGCAACCTCATTTTCACACCTTTTATGGGTTCCCTACCCTCAGGTCTCTCCTTCCCTATTCCCTCGCTTGGGCTTCTTGGGGTCACCTTCCAAATAAACTTGTGCACCCACACCCTGGGCCCAGGCTCTGCTTCCGGGGAGCCCAGATATACACACTGAGCCTCAGTTCCTCATCCAGGCGAGGCTCCCAGCCCTGCCCCAGCGGGTCACTGGGAGGCTGAGGGATCAGCACCTGCGTGTGTCCAGCCCAGCTCCTCACGTGGCTGGAGGTCTAATCCAATGCTCTTCTCTCTCCTGTGCAGCTGAATGTTGTATTAACAGTGGCTTTGATTTGCTTTGGCAGTGAATTAGGAAACACCAATCTCATTGTCTTCTAAAAAATAAAAATTACAGAAGTAAAAGAATTTGACTTTGCAAAACAGTTTTTCATACAACTTTGAATTATGCTTAGGAGCAGTCATTTCTGAGTCTGCTTTCCCTAAATTTCAAGTTCCCTGGGCATGCATTAACCGAGACGGCCTGGTACAGCCGTCCGTCCGGATCCGTGGGATCGGTCCCAGCAGCCCTGTGGATGCCACATCCGAGGATGCTCAAGTCCCTCATGTAAAATAGCATAGGATTTGCTTATACCCTGCACACTCCTTCCCATATACTTTAAATCATCTCTGTTACTTATAATACCTCATACAGTATCGATAGTACGTAAGTCGTTTTTATACTGTATTGTGTAGGGAGTTACAAGGGAAAAAATCTGTACAAGTTCAGTACCGATGCAGCCATTGGAGGCCTAACTACACAGTACGTGTCAGCAGTAACGTGATGTTTCCCCCTAACATGCTGAGTCCCCGGTCTGTTGAATCTGCAGATGGGGAACCTGCAGGTCTGGAGGGCCAGCTGTACCTGAAAAGAAGGAAGATTTTCCTACTTTGTTTTCTGGAGAAGCCAAGTATCTGCCTGTTAATAAAAACCAAACAGCTGGCTCTCTGAAGAAAAGCCCTGATTTTTATGTAGAAACTGTAAGAATATCAGCAGAGGAAACAGAAGCCCCACACAGTTGTTTGGAGTGTATCTGGACAATCCAAGCTGAGTATTTATTGAGCGCCCTTCTGGGCGCTTAAAATGTGTGAGGCCCTGGGAATAAGGTGAATGGAGTTTTGAGGCTTTTGGTGGGCTTCTGGTTTTGGTCAGGTATCTAGAAATTTGTATTTGTTAGCCTTAGTCACTTAATCAGGTGTGATCAAAAAAACAAAACCCTTTTGTTACTTATGTGTCTGACTGAGAGAAGTCTTGGCCACAGTGGCAGGGCCCAGGGAGCCAGGGGAATGACTGTGGGTTGTGTCAGGTTCTGTGCTCTTTCTAGAAAAGAAGCATCCTCCTGGCATTAGAGACTCATTGTATGCATGACATTTAGGGTTATGGTTCTCACACTTCAGGGTCTCCTTCAGGAGGCCTGTGGCATTGCAAGCCCCATTGTTAACCAGGGCTCACTCAGCTGGTCTGAATCTGAGCATAGGACTTACCGTTTTCTGAACCCTTCTGTGCCAGGGTTTTGAGGATTAAATGAGATAATATATGTAAAGTTCTCAGTAAATCGTAGCTGTTGTGCTTGTGTGTTGCTGTTCTCGGAATTAGGGGTTATATGCCCCAAACCTCCACTACTGTCCTACTACCTGCGCTTAGGACACAGGCACTTGACTTGTTAGCTCCCCTTGTTTGTTCCGCAGGAGACACTATCCCATCAGCATATTGAGTGCACTGAGGAGCAAAGACCTCCCAGCTGTCACCAGCTTTGCTAGGATACTCCCATGATGCTCTGTGAAGAGTGGAACAGACAAACACATAGAGAATTGAAGGGTTCAATATTGGGTTCCTTTGTTTCCTTAGAAATGAATGAATGAATGACCATTTGATTCTCCTGTTTAAGTGTTTGAATTTCTGTCTTCATGACCCACCATAGAAAAAGGGAAAATAGGCTGTATTGGACTTGAGCGGAAATATCATCTGTGAAGACTTTTTATGGAGAGAATTAATTTTACCACTGGAATTCCCCAAAGAGCCCGGTGTTATTTTTAAGCCAACAAAGCGACCATTGAAGGGATTGGACACGCCAGCCCTGTTTATACTGGGCTCCTATTAATGATGTTTTTGTGATTTAAGTAGGAAAACCCCTTTTCTAGTGTATGCCATCTTTTGAAAAATTTCGACAGCTTTTAAGGGAGTTTCATAGCGCATGCAGCTCCTGAACAAAGTCTTTATTTTATGTAAGCACCAAACTTGAACTTGCTGTGGCATTAATGTATTTTCCATCTATAAACAGCTATTAATACCACATTGTTAAGACCGAGGGTTTATTTAACTGGAGACAAAATAGAAAAGGGCTCTGTGTTCCTTCTCCCATTTAGACACCATCCACCCAGCAAATGCTTACCAGATGATGAAGGTAATTGCAGCCCAAGGTTCTTTTTTTAATCCCTCGCCCCACTTTGAATCACCCCATTTCTAAATTGGCGTATGAGTAGTGTGGAGTCTCAAGCTACCAGAAGCCACTTAGATGCAAATTTGCTCTCTGGAATGAATTGCTCCCGGGGATGTATGTGTCCATTATACACCTTTCCACCGGGGGAAGAATTACAGAGCCGGCTCTGATGTGGCCAACCCCCTGATTTCCTGCTTATGAGAGTGAGGGCATTCTGCCTCCCTTAGCCGGGCAAGAGATGACTAACAACATTTAGCTCAGAGAATGCTCTGTTTGTGCACAAAACTGCTATTACTGAGTCTGCCTGGCTGACACCCCAGATGCCCAGATGTAAAAACATATTAGAGTTCCTAAAGATGGTTGGTGTATTTAA